TTTTTGCTACTAACACTGAGATGTTGGCACATGCGTCTCTAATCTATATGTGTCTATTACTAGTCATAATCGGTTGCACTTGGATGCTTGGCGCCTGTGTATGTCTATAAAGTCATCGGGTAGCTTTTAATGGTAATGTTTATCACCTCTACTAATTAACATGACATAAATTTCCATGCTTCCTCCTCAAACATACATTTTTAAAAATGTGTTGATTTGTGTGTGTGTGTTTGTTTGTGTGTGTGTGTGTGTGTGTGTGTATCACACAGAACATCCCAAACCATCTTATTCAACTATACACCCACTTCCCAGGTGCCACCCTCCCATAGCCTCCCTCCCTCCACTAGAGCTCTTATACTCTGATATCCCTGCTACTGTCTGCTGTGCTGTCGGCACCCCCAGTCATTCCCCACTACTTGTCCATCTGGTGAGTCTAGTCAGCCTATCTAGAGGGTTTGTTTTAGGAGGGTCAGCTGTTCCTCATCTAGCATCAATCAGTTGTTAATATTCCTTTAGATAAGATCGGGGTCTGCTGTTCATTTTCCCAGTTCTATGCTGGGTTACTATCTGGGAGTCCCTTTGTCCACCCTGGCCAACAACTCAAAAGAAGGCATCTCCTATCTGGCATTGTTGCTTGTTATGTAGCCTTTAGCTATGCATATGGACTCTTAAAAATTATATTGGCCCCTTTAATCTTTGGTTATACTTTCGTTTTGGGTGTTTAAGTCCATACAGTTGGCTGAGATAAATTTATTTTTACTCTTAAGGTGGTTTGAGGATCTGTTCCTCGGGGGTCACATGGGCTTGGGAGGAGCCCCTTGGCTCCTTTCTTTTACAGGTTCAGCCTATGTGAAGATAAGTCAAAGGTCCTGCTCGACCATGATTGGCTTTGCTTGGAAGCATGGAAGAAATGATTCCTCTGTGTTGACCCTCCTCTTTGTAGGCTGGACACTGGTTCAAGTCCATCTGGCCAAGGTCTCCTCAGCCTCCTTGATCAAGAGGACAGGTGACCCACCACAATTACAGGACATTTTGAGAGATGCTCATAGTCCCCTAGAACTAGTCGTCTTAGGAGGGCAAGGAGCAAAAACTGTCCTTTATGTCCCTCTGACCAAATTAGTATAGGCCTCAAAGTATGTCTGTTAAACATCAAAGAAGGTTAGTTCCACCAGTCTAGTGCTTTTAATTACTGTGTCATGTAGGTAAATCTTGGGCAAAGACCAATTGTTCTCAGATAAAACTTACCTACACATATATTTCTTGATCTTCTGTGTATAATTTGTCAGTAGCTTGTTGGAGTAATATGGTTCCCTCTGGTTTTTAAAACTAGCTAGGTATTATTTATCTCTCACATTGTCTCACCCCTCCATCATGGTTTTCCCACTTAAGGTGCCTTCATTTACCCCCTTTCTCCCATAATAATACCCTTCTCCTATGGTCCTACTTCTCTTGAGTTCCTTCTTTCCCTTTATTCCCTAGGTTCCTTGTATACCCCTCCCTTACCCCTCCCTTAAACTAACCCAATGTTTATCCATATCTCCCTTATTAAGGCCTGTTTCCTACTGTTCTTCTCTTTCAGGTTCTTTCTTTTCCTTTACCTCCCTGTTTCCTTTCCATTATCCTGCTTCCTATAGTTATGTCTGGATACATACTCACTTATCAGGATTCAGTGCTTGGATCCACATACGAGGGAAAACATACATCGATT